TTGTAAAACTCAACATATTTTAACAAATCAATTGGCCAAATTGAAAGTAAATTAAAATCGAAGTGAAAAGATCATCACAACTTCTTTAAAATTTTCATGGCTCAACCAATTCAAATCACCATTTCATAAATCTCAAGACAAGGAGAAAGACAAATAAAACTACTTAGAACTCATAGGGAAGACACAACAAAACTCAAAATTCATATATAAAAGCGAAGTCATACAAACTACAACAAGTAAATAACACTTATCTCTAAGTCCTCCCCAAGAAAACTCCTCGAAGTTTCTCTGAATCTCTTTTTTTCTTTACAGCACACAGAATTCCTCTTCGAAACGACACAGAGGAAGAAATCTCTCACTTTTTCTCCACTCTTACAATCTCTCGAAGAATTCCTCACAATTAGACTCTCTACACACTACTGTAACTCTTAGACGTTGTTCTAACCTTCAAACTCCTTGAACTCCTGAGCTTCCCTCTTCTCATTTTTGGCCAAAGTTTTCTTTTAAAGATGTGGATGAGTTTTTCCAAGAGTTGTCTAAGTATCCCTCCAAAAATCATCCACATTCAATGCACTTTTGGACATAACCGCCAATCTCGCTGTCGGCGGGACTTCTTGTCGGCGGGCCTTCTAAATTATTAAATCTAGAGTCTCGGAAAATTCTCGACGTCAACGTCGTTGGGCTCGCCGTCGGTGCCCTAGTTCAAATCTTGACATTTTGGTCCTTTTCGCTCTAAATTTGCTACTTTTTGCATATTTTTGCTCCAATGACCCTAATTCATCATTCCTGCAACAAAAACATCAAAATTACCTTTTTTTAAAGTGCAATATCATCAAAAAATAGTGTAAAATAGGTATGAAAATCTCAACATATTTTTCTTTGGTCAAAATCCCCCAAACTTAACTATTACTTGTCCTCAAGTAATTTTAGTAGTATATAAAAGTTATGATCTATTGTAGTAAAGTCTTAATTCAGAAGTACTATAAGTTTGATTTAAGTAAACACCATAGTGAGATTTTTAGAAAAAATTCAAGTAATTATATTAACTCTGTAGGTACA